TGTGGACAGGGACCATTAGGTCATGGATATCATTCACGTGTGAAGAAGTAGAGGGAAAGAAGCAGCTGATAATATCCATCCTGAATCCCTGATTCACAGAAGTGAGATGTACCTTTGTAAATCCTGATAGGAGGAAAGAACAAAGTCTCTTTTTTCACTCATTTCTATCCATAAACAAATGTCTCACATTGTCCAGAGAGGCTGTGGAACCTCCATCCTCGGAGATGCTCAGACATCACCTGGATGTGGCTCTGGGCAAGTGGCTCTGTGCGGCCCTGCCTGGGCAGGACCTGGGCATGTGCTGCAAAGGCACATTCAGAGCTCAACCACTCTGTGATTCTGCAGATATAAGAACCAACTTCAGTTTTTTTAGAAATAGTTTAAATGTAATTGAAAACAAAAGATGATGATTGATTTTTTTCAACACAGTCTGATTGTGTTTTTTACTGTCTTGAAAAATGCATTCAGCCTTGTTTTGATTTTTGTTTACTTTTAGCTTCTCAGCTTCTTAGTTTTCTTAGAAACCAGGTCACAAAGTTACACAAGATTCTCTGACAGTGTGTTTGACCCAACTGATAATGCAGGACTTCTAGGAACCTCTTGCTTTTTCTGCACCGTGGGGGATTTACAGATCAAAGAGCCTCCAGAAAAGACCAACCCAAGAGTATGGCAGGGCTCTCCTGGCAAAAAGCTGCTGCCCCAGGCTGATGGCAGGATGTCATACCACCTGCAGCAGTCATCCAGGTGATCAGAGAGATAGATGCACCTCATGGTTTAACAAAGAAAAATTGCATGTTTAAGCTGCGTGTTTCCAATTACCACAGAACTTTGCTGTATTATCAGGTTTTGCAGGACAGTGTCTCAGCTTAAACGTTACCACTGACAAAAACCTAATTGAGGGAATTGCTGTTATAAAATTCTGCTTCCTACAGCACTGATAACACGCTTGTCCTGTGGGACTCTGGTGCTCAAAGGCTCTACTGAGTTAGGTAAAGCCCATTCCAATCAAAAATAACAAAGACCAAATGATGCTAAACGTGATTGACACACATTATTGCAGTTCGCACTTGTATAGAAATAGGTACGACTCAAAAGAGATTCCCTTCTTCTATCAGAAGGAGCCAACTTCTGAGTTGTACTCATTCCAGCCCTTACTGCAGCCAGTGGCTCTGCTCAAAATGTAGTTAGTATAGGATTTTGCCTGCAAAGTGCTGTTATTCAGCTACCTTTATTGGCACGCTTTGAGGCAAAGTATTTTTTCCTGTTTTCTAACATTAATCTCCCACATTGGATAAAACGAACAACCTCAAAAGGAACTGAGTCCTGGGATCCATTTCAAAAGGCAGTAGGTAGAACAGGGAACTAAAAGTAAGCCTTTGATAAGAAACAAACTATGCCTATTTACAAGAACGTTTAATATAATAGTATATTTCCTGTAATTCATAATCCCTGCTTCCTTTAGTCTGAAGTATTCCTTTACCTTTTATAATTCTTATCCTCCCTTCTGGGATTTGTGAAAGAAGATCCCTTGTATCATTATTCCTCTCTAATTAAAATCAGAAGCAGCCCAGAACTGAGATGCCTGACAGTCCAAGGGAGCAGCACACCATGGAGGACTTTAGGCCCAGAATCCCAGAAGCTGATCTGAAAAACCTCATGTTAGGCATTTAAAAGAACATATTTTAGAATGTGTTTGGTTTTTGCAGATACAGTTTTTGAAGTTGTGTGTTGTCAGTTCTGAAATATTTTCAAAACTTGTCCTCTGCTTCATTTACTTCTCTGCACTGCCAAAAGCCAATTTCAATGAATTAGTGCTGCTGTAGGTGACAGGAAAGGTCCAGCCTCCCACCTCAGTTGGTTTCAGCAGCCCCATTCATGGCAACCCAGCTACCCAGACCCATTTTCTCTGTCATGTTCTCTGTGAATCCAGTTTTAACAGTTGAAGGCTTTCAGCTGCTCTGGCACATGTCTCCAGTGGTACCACTTCCATGTGGAAAACAGATAGTAAGTTGCTCAACTTCTATGAGGGCTAATCTGAAAGCCTCCTACTTTATTACTCTTGCTCAGAACGCCAAATGCAGATTTTTGTGAGCATGGCATGGAGGGTTTTATTCGTTGTTGGTGAAAATGCATAGCTGATAGTGGTGACTATGCTGAAAAAATAGTGTTTTGTGGCTGAGTATTTTCTCTGAGAAACAGTGTCATTGCACTCCTTGTATATGTGGTAGTTTCTGTGGAAAAAAATAGGATGCTATTTTCAGGGCAACCTACGTCTGTTCTGGATGCCTGAGCTGGTGTGGATATACTGCAGGAGTGAGGTTTACATTTTCTGTTGCCAAGCAGAATGCTAAATTCCCAGTAACTTTGTTCACTTACTTTAAAACTTTAACTTTTCAGTTTCATTAAACAATAAACTGTCTTTCTCAAGAACCATGTATGTTTCTTTCTGCCAAAACATGAAAAACTAAGAAAAAAAGAATTTCCAAATACCTGAAGTCCAGCACATGCGAAGGTGAAAATGGTTAATGACAGTAATTTTTTATGGCCTCCAGTACCATGGTGGGCTTTCAGAGTAACCACTTCACAGTTCCATTTTAAGTTTGTGCACTGTTTATTAAACTGCAGCAAAAGGCAGTTGCCTGCTTGATCTGATGTGTGCAGCACTGACAGCTCACTTTGCTGACTCAAATTTCTTGTTGTGTAGCTGATAAGCAACAACCGCAGTTACTGGTTTCATTCCTACGTTTTTCTGTGTCAAGCCATTAGGTTAAAGACCTGATTCGTGTGCAGCCAGCCTGTTGCAGCACTCCTAAATTTCAATTTTTTAATTTGTTACTGGTTGGAGGGTTTTTTTGAGTGATGAAAAACAAAAATGTTGTTGATGGATAGTAAGCGAAACTAGTAATCCTCAGATCTCTTTCTTTTTGTACATGAATAAGTCTCCAACCCATTATGGAGATACAAAACCTGACTTTGCAAGCAGGAGCCTCAAGTTAGACAACTAAATAATAGATGTGTTTTATAAAATCCTTAGAGTCCTGAGCAGCCTCTGAGTTCCCAGCAGCTCCCCTGGAAGCTCTTGCAAGCTGCTGGGTAGACATTTGAAAGCCAGGCCTCCCATTTGCATGCTTTTCTCCCTTGAACTTTAAATAGATTTTTTAGAGGAGCTGTCACAACCCATTCAAAAAGCTGTCGCTTTTGATGCATCCCTGTGTCTAGATTTCCAGCTAGCTCTGTGCTTCATCCCTTGTTATGGTTGCTCCTAGTTAAAACAACAAAATATTTCAGATATCATAACTGTGCATTCAAATTGCCCTACTAATTAGCAGTTTGTTCAGTCCTAAAAGTTACTGAGCCTCTTTGGGAGGTGCAAGGGACACAGATCTTTCCATCCAGTGCTGGGGAGTTCAGCTCTTCACGGTGAGGGACTGCTCAGAGCAACATTTTGTGGCTGGCTGAACCCAGACTTTAAGAATGAACACTTTTACTCTTGTGCATCAATTCTGGGCCCCGTGTTTTAAGTGTAAGAGCCTTTGATGTGCTCAAGTGCCCTGTCTCTTTCTGCATACCTCAGAAATAGGCTTTGCTTGTCATTATACTGTAGTTTCTGATAGCTAGGGTTAATTTGTATTTGGAGGATGAGAACACATTCCATATCTTAGAAAGCATCTCTATATGCTGAGAAATGTTAAATGCATTTTTCAGTGATGTAAAGCATGGCAAGAAACGTGTAATAAAGAAATCATCTGTCACCTGATCACAACCACTAACACCGACTTTAGAAGAGCGAAGAAAAGGATTCTGATTTTCTGAGGAGACAGAACCTTGACAGAAGCAATCTTTTCTGTAGTGCCACATGACCTATTTTCCTTTAGGCATGAGAAAGGGCAGTTACTATGCAGCACACTTGTATTTACCCACCACATGTTCACGCAATAAAAGAGTGAGAATCGCTATAAGATTCTTATCTTGGATTATCAGTCTCTAATAACAGTGTTACTGGTATTGGAAGCACCCTAATTATACAATAAACACAAGAGCACCTTCAGTTTTTAACTGCAGCAATCTAGCTTGCTCTGAATAGCAGGTGTGACAGCAGAGCTGTTGCTCACAGCCGTTGAGAGCTTTCAAGGACCGTGGAAGCCATGTAGAAGTAAACGTGTGCTTGGGAAGAAACCAGTCCAAATTCTACCTTCAGATAGACTAGTGAGAAGCCTATTGTTCTGGGTCAATCTTTTAAATGACTATCTTTATGACTTTTGAACCATGTTACTGTGGGACGTTCATACCTTGTGCTCGAGCTGCAGGCCCAGACACAGAAGCCTGACTGACTGAATGCAGCACTCTGAAGCTTCAGCAGAGGGAGAGTGGAAGTTTTCAGGATGGTGATTACAAATCTGGACATCTGAATTCCTTGCCAGAAGCATTTTGATGCATTAGTATTTCCTGGAATCTGTCCATATATAAGAATAAACCAAAACATTCAGTCATAGTGTTAACAGAGAGAGATTCACTTCTGAGCAGTGCCAAGGGGCAGATCTGGTAGATTTTCTCAGTTATGACATGAAAACAGACCAGAGAACTTACTCAGAAAAGCAGACAGAAAGACTTTGATAAGAGCTGCTCTTACACCAGTGATGGAAAGGCTGGGTGAAGCCATCTGTGTACGTGTGTCTCTTCTATTGCGTTCTGTTCTTGCTTCTGTTTTTTTTTGTTGTTGTTGTTTTTCCCACTAAGTTTTTTTAAAATATGTGCAGTAAATTTTGACATGACCAAGCTTTCGGGAAATCAAACAAATAATAGCTATGTTAGTCCAGAGTTTGAAATGTCAGAAGTACAGGTAAGTCAGTCTGCAGTGAAAACCCACAGTAAGTCACTGGGCTCATTCTGACCGTCCCAGTGGCAGGTCCCATCCAGCCAGGAATCTGGGTTTACCTTCTGTGGGATTTGTGGCATAGAGAATGGGCAAAGGAAGGGAGAAGGCAGTGAGCGGTGCATACCCAGGTCCTGTCCTGACATGGAGCCCTGCAGCACTCCCAGCTCTCTCGGATTAGAAGGAGTCCCAGCATTCAGCACAATTTTGTTCATAATTCTGTCCTTTACATAGGTTACTTTGATAGTAAAGCCTCCTCTATATTTCCATGGAAACTACAACAAAGAACACAATGACACTATTGATAGAGCAAATTCTCTGCTACAAATCACTATTTTTCAATACAGTCACTGCCATTAGCAATGCACTTTCACCAATGAGAGCTGCATGCTGCACTCATCAAGAATCAGCACCAGTAGAGGTGATCCGCTGTCACAGATACCACTGCTAAAATGAACCACCCATCACCTCACTGTGCTCACATCCACTGTTTGGTTTGCATAAACATTCACCAAGTGTCAGTGAATGTCAGTGGGTGCCATTTTTTCCACGTGGAGTAATTCAGTTCTACATCTTTACTTCATCTGCACTCCCATGTCAAATACTGTTCTGTCAGACCGCCCTTCTGCTGGCATCTGTCACAGAGCAACAAAATGGAATATTAGTGGGAATGTTCAACCTCTACTGCCTCTGACATCTGCCTCTGACATCACAGGCCAGAATCATAAAATATAGGGCATTACTTTTGGAGCAGCCCTCATATTTAATCTGATTTCTACATAGTTATATTATCACAAAATATGCAGTTATGCAGTTCAAGCCTCAGGTAATTTTTTTGGCTTCTTAATGTCATCTCTTTATAATACTTCATGAGTTTTGTCAGTGCTGTTAGGTCTTGTTTGGGGCAAAATATTTGAGCTGTGTGTGTACACGCATGTGTGCTTGTGTACACCCACGCTTGGAAGGTGATGCAATTCCTATTAAAGCCTGGGATACTCTTAGTTAGGGAAAGATAAAGAAAGAGTTTATTGATGGTTGTAAATATAGTGTTCTTCTATGTCAGGCACTCTGCAGTCTCCACCCCAAAGGTGAATATGGGCAATGGGCTCACAGAGCAGTGGTGACTCTGGCACACACCGATCCCCCCCTTGCAGGAGCAAGGCAAGAGACTTGAATGTGAGGTTTTTAACCTATGGTTTTTGGCATTGGACTGCTTCCTCTACTTTGAAAAAGTAATAGCAGGGCAGGGAACTGATAATGCCTCCTCTCCAAGGCATACGTTATTAAACGCTATCAGTGCACTACTGAGATCTTTGTTCCGATCCAGTGCAGCTGGAGGGCTTTTTAAAAGTCGAGTTTTATAGTCTGGTACTTGAAATCCTATGTAAAAATCAAGATTGTAACATCCTGGTGTCAGGGTCCACTTTTACTGCTCATTGCTTGCACCAGCCATGAACACAAAATGTTAATTTGCTAAACCAGTTTGAGGGAGGCAGACTGCATACCCAGAGCTGACCATCTCCTAACAGTGGTCGTACTGGCAGGGAACACTGGCAGTCATCCATTGCACATAATCTAGTGCATAATTATATTTGATAGAAGCTTTCTGGTATGTGTGGATAATGAACAGTTCATGTATTTATGAACCTGGAACGTTCCTAAAATGAGTTACTGCATGCTCAACATCAGTTTCCCAAGTCTTTTTCATACCGTAATATTGCATTACATTTACTAAACAGATTAAAATGTATTGCAGCCTTAAGGGATACATTATTCCTGTGGACAAGCAAGGGCATTTATGCAAGCAACATTGATTGGTTTTAGTAGAAGTTAGTTATGCATGTAAATCCATGCGCCGTGAGATCACACTGAACACTGGCAGAGGTGCTTTCACCCTGAAAACATACCACACTCTACCTGCAGAGTCCTACTTTCACTGCAAACAGTGAAGCAGTGGACAGCAATACTTTATAGCCCCTGTTATCTGCATGACTTCAGCATACATGGTACTTTATGCCTGCTGTAGAAACAATGAGGTCTGCACAAACATCCGGTAGAATAAAATCAACAAAGTGGTGGCTGTGATTCACTAGCACTTTCTAGGCTATGTCATGGGCAATAGGAGGGTGTTTGCCAGACATCATGGCCTGTGCTTATGCATAGAGTCAGATGAAGAATCTGCAACAGCCTCCACACTACTCAACATCAACTGTTCCATCAGCCTCAAACAGTTATAACTGTCTAGAGGTATGGCTGATACAGTTTTGTAGGGAGTATAATACCCATCATGGCCTTATCTAGATATAGTTTCTAGTTTAAAGAGTGTGGGTATTTTAGTTGTGTGGGTGCATTGACTTTGCATCACATTGGCAGCTCTGTACTTGTCATCTACGACAGTTTGCACATGGGTGCCATCAATGGGTGACACACAGAGGTAAATAATGCTTGCTGGTTTAATTTAATGTCATTTTTACCAATTTCACATTATTCTCAAAGTCCGTTCTTGTCTCAGCCTCCTAATCCATGGAGGTGTGTATAGCAGACCAAGTTTTCTCCTTTCCAAATTGTAGCTGCATATTTACAAACTCGCTGGGAGGACACAGGTGGGTGCGTTGATGTGACACTGTAGCCGCAGCATGATCCGTGTCAAACACTGTTATTAAATGACAGAAAGCAGTCAGCTACAGGGCTTCCATGTGCTCAGGCTTTTCCAGAATATACAAAATGACTTCCTTATCCAAAGCGTTATGCATTCTGGGACAGCCATTTTGATGCCAGTAAGTACGGCCATCTTTACCCTCAGGGGTTGTATGTCATCATTAATATACACAGCTGAATGGGGACAGTCTCCCCATTCTCTGGAACAGCATTCGATCATTCCCAAAGATGTTTGCTTCTTGTGCTTACCTGACCCTGCTCTGGGATGTTTGTACTTCAGGTTTACCTTTAGGAAGTGTAATTTAATATCTAACATAGATCAGTGCCATAAATTAGGCCAACTGGTTCTTGATACAGATCTAGAAACAGCACAGATCTGATAGAGCTGGAGAGATCCAGATAAATGAGCCACTGACGCAGCAGTAACTTTGTTATGTCTGAGCAATGAAACATGGCTTCCTAACACAGCTGCTCCTCATCCCCATCGGCTGGCAGGTGTATACAGCACGATGGGTTATACGGCACAGCACTTCTTGACGCTTTGGGGCAACACATTTCTTTCCTGCTCACAGCAGTTTTACACTTCTCATTTTTTTCTGCAGTCAAACATTGTATTATTTCTGTTTAATTCTTATTTATTTCTTTTGCTGACTGACAATAGAGGTTATATGTGGCCCTGTTTCCATGTTATTTGTCAGCTAAATGTTCACTGACTTACAGTGATACCATACTTAGAGTGTCCACAACCCACACAGCAGGTTTTCCTGCACACTTACAAACGTTTCATTTTTTACTAAGCAGAATATGCAATCTCTCTGCAATGTGGCTGTACAGATGGCACACACTGAGGTCTTGGTGGGCTGGTGATTTTCAGATCCAATCTGGGGAATTCCCAAGTGAAACTCATGGAAACTTTCTGGCCTCACCGGATGAGAGCCACGGGAGCTGTAGGGTAGACTGGGCTCTCTCTGAAAGATGAGAGGAAACCCACAATTGGAACAAATTTAAGATTTTGGACCCTGCATTATCTGCACTCAAAGTTTGCACCCTTTCCGTGTAACACTAACAGAAGAAAAAATTATAAAATCTTGTATTAGTCACTGTTACCAGCAGATAAGTTGAGTTTACTATGGGCCAGACCAGTGGAATAAAGTACTGTTTTCTTTAGCTAACTTTTCTGATCATAGCTACATCTAAAATAAGTCATATTGTGAGTCATTTTTTAAGAGCTGAATGGCAGAAGAAGTTTAGGGGTTTGATGTGTGAGTCAAACAGGGTTTTCTTTGGAAGCTTTAATGGACAATGTCAGTTTTCACAGCTAATGATCTGGCTCTCCTACGCTGAATGGAAAAGAGAGGTTAAGAGTATGAATATATAAAGTGCATGAAGAAAGTAAGATGTGACCACACACTGAATATGTATGTACATAGATGTATATACACTTACTTATCTGAAGCAGATGGAAAAGTCAATGAAACAAAGAGAACAGAAAGGCATAGGGGAGTCTTATCCATGCCAAGTATCACTCTTAAGAAGCATAGAGGAGCACAATGCCATCCAGCAATGACTGCAACCTTGATAAAACGCTTGGAAGAAGCACTGCATCCCTCAGTCCCTGGCTCTTGCCAGCTGCTGGGTGCCTCTGTGTGCCCCTTTCTAAAATATTAATCCTTAGACCCAGCCAGCACCCCAAGCTCAGCACTGGGGCTGGGTGGAAGTGTGCCAGCCAGGGTCGCAGATGGGAGATGGCAGTGGCTCCTGGAGCCGGGTGTGTATGGCCGTGGGGGAGCTGGCTGTGCCCATCCTGGCCACCCGCTGCTCGCTGCCCACTCTCCCTCCTGCCGGGGATTTGGAGGCAGTGCTGTTTCTGCATGTCCTGGCTGCCAGCTCCACGGCACCCAGCGTGTCACCAGCATCAGCCAGCTGCCACTGTTCATCCTCCTCTGTGCTACCCCACAGCACCAGGGCTCCAGCTTCAGCTCTCAGTGCTCTGTTTTTTCTCACTGATCACAGAATCACAGAATATCCAGAGTTGGAACCCATAAGCATCATCAAGTCCAACTCCTGGCTCCACAAAGGACCACCCAAAAATCAGACCACATGTCTCAAAGCACTGTCCAGATGCTTCTTGAACTCTGGCAAGCTCAGTGCCATGATCACTGCCCTTGCAGGACATCTTTCCCTGTCTCCCTCCTTCCATTCCCCTGGCCCAGACCAACAGCTCTTCGGCACAAGGTTCCCCTGCAGTGGGATGCAGAGGGGGCAAAGCTAAACTTTCACAGCACCCATGCAAACACAGTGAGCTGTTTCTCTGGTACAAAAAAAAAAAACATATACATTTTGTGCTTGATCTCCCATTGCGTAATAATCTGAAGAGTCAACATTCTGAAGGAAGCTGATGAAGTTCCCCAGCTCTTGTGCATGGATCTGGGCGGGAACCTGCCTGCTGGATCTTGCAGGTGTGCTCTCAGGAAGATGCAAGTGTGGGGAAAGCGATGGTGCTGCAATCTGGAGGCGGGCACTGCATGTGGCACCACTCTTAGCACTCCTGTGATGGGCAACTGCCAAATTGTACACACATATGGGGAAACCTGTGTGTGCTGAAATGCCCAACATTGTCATGATTGTTTGTACTGAAAAATAATAGTTCCAAGGTTTATTACTGTAGTAATGGAAAGATACAATTTGTAAAACATAAAGTTATCTGCTATAAACAAAGGCTCTCATTGAAAGAAAAATAAACCAAACAGTCATCAGGTAATTGGCTCAGATGCCTTCATCACTGCCATCTTTACGGCATTTACCAACATCTTACAGGAGTGAAAGATAATGTTAATTCATTACTGATAATGAATTATTTTTCTGTAAATATAATTTACGTGCTTTTGTCTTCTTGTTCAGCTACCTAAAAGGGTACATATGGAAAGTATTTTAGCACGTAGTATTGGAATTAATTCACAGCATTCAATGGTATTACGTTTCTCATTATGCCCTGCTTCAGTAAAAGCAGTTTAAGATATTGAGTATCTGTTTATTGCTCATTTTGACACACGTATAACACAGTACTGAGAGCTGAAAATCGTCCTTGCCTAAGTTCTCAATGCAATGTCTGGAAGACGTTTTCAGAAATACTGCTCTGTGCAGTGCAAATCCCAATGGATTTGTTTAGAAAACCTCTCTCAGCTCACTAAAGTGAACGTCTAAAAAGCGTTAATTTGTGCTGCTGCTGCTTTGAAACAAATTCTGGTTTCTTCTAAATATTTGTGTTCACAAGAACTGACTTATGTCCCTCCTATGATGGTTGCCCTCTCATTAGTGTAAGTGTTTTCATGAGGTTAAATATCTTAAAAAAAAAAAAAAAGTTCAAAATCATGCTATCTGAGACTAAAGATGCGAGCAATAACCCATAACCAAAGTAACTCATTTTCCCAAAGCTGTAGGAACATTTGTACTCTGAAAGGCAACTGCAGGGCAGCCGTGCGGACCCTTCTGGTAAGCTCAGCAGAACCTCTGCTCCTGAAACACAGATAGAATATACAGAGCAGAACAAAGCAGCATCTCATCCTTTCTGAAAGTCTTGAGCTATTCATCACTCTTCTTGGTACTGCTACCACCAGCTTCTTTTCATCAACTGCTTTACAGTCATTCTGGTAATTGCCTGTTACCCATTTCCACACCGCCGCATTATTCATTGTTTCCAGCAACTCCACAGACCCCGTTTTTATGCCTATGGATTATACACAGCACACAACATAATTTCACCTTTGTTTTCATGTGGTTTAATCACAATTTAATTTCAATTCAGGTAACACATTAGGATTTTCCTGGTTTAGATGCAGTTCAGTAGAAGTTGTTTCTCTTTTTCCAGTGTTACATTAAAAATATTACAATTAAAAACACTGGAATTGAACAAAGAAAGTAAAAAACTTATTTTCATAAAGAAAACAGGGATGAAGAGAGAAATATCATTTCTTTCTCGTGAGATAAGCATTCCCAATATTTTCCCCAACACAAAACAAAGCCCTTTAGGTTGAAGTAACTTTAGAATGAGCAACTCACGTTATCCTGCCTTCAGTTCAAAATGTTTAATGAACTGCTTAAAACATGAATTTCTCAACATGTGTGTAAACTGAGAAAGAAAAAGAAGATATTCTCAATTATAAATCAGAGATTTATTAATTTCTCTATGGAAAAAGCCCCTTTGCCATCACAATACAAAATGTGCACTTACTCATTCCAATTTGCTAACGACAAAAGCAGCATTGCTTTTAGGAAAGCAAAGCACATAACATTTTAAAAATGTTGTTATGAAAGAGAAAACCTTTTATTCAAAGCACATTGTTTTGATGATTTGTAATGTCTCTAAAATGTGTATTACTTCTGACATCTTCTTGACTTTGAGCTTTAAAACCAGTGTAATAGGTTTGATATTTTCTAAGAATCCTCACAGTTCATTTCAGTCATTTCAGCCTCTAAGACAAATTAGTTGTAATATCCATTTTGTTTCATGTTGGTATTTAGTTGTGTTTGGAAATTCCTTCCAAAATCCCCCAAGTCTCACATAAAGAAAACAGAAAATGGCTGAGGTCAGTCTGAGGGTTTTCTGTGGCTCCTTTGAACCCCATTGTCGGGGACACAGAAGTGTATTACCGACCTTCAGGTGGAAGGGAAGGGAAAGAACAGTGACAGCATGTTTTGAAAGAGCCTCTGAAAAAAAAACCTTTGTATCACATCACACCAAGTGTCCCACACTTCTGCGTTGGAAATTCACATGGTTTGACTGAAGGAGCACTGTCATCTCACAGCAATCTCTATTGGCTTCCCCACACAGCAGTGCAGACGCAACGCTTCTAAAGGAGAGGACCACCAATGCTACCCCTAATAGAGGGAGAATATGGGGCAGAAGGCTGAGTTTGTGTGAGCAGCAGTGGTAAACAGAACAGCCAGCAGCACAGCTGGACCCAGGGGTGCCAAGGGCTGTGGCTCGTCCCAAACAGGGCTGTACAGTCACCTCCCCAAGGGACACAGAGTCCCCATGCTCCCTTCTCACAGAAGAATTCATTGAAGAAAACCAGAAATAGTACTAAACAAGGAAATAGATGAGGTGCTGCCAGTATCTAGAACCCTGGAATGGGATTTTTCCCATCTTCGATACTTTCACATGGAAAGGTTATGGTGTTTGCCATGAACTTCGGCATCCTTCTGACAAACCACAAACTTCAGAAGTCGTTGCAGAATTTCTGTGCTTTTAAATAAAATACACCATGAGCACAAATGAAACTTGCAAAGCACACTTGGTCACTGGCAGACATCCGCACAGCACTCCCTGCCAGCTCACTGGGACCGGCTCCCCTCGCCCCAGGAGAAAGCAGAGGTGCCACCCTCACCACAGCCTGGGTGCTTCTGCTGAGCCTCATGGAACCAGAAAGGGCAGGGGAGCTGTGCTGAGTTCTGGAGCTCGGAACACAAGCTTTATTCAATCTGTAGGGTTTTATATGCAGTTGGTAGTGCTGCAAATCCAGATAGAGTAACTACATGCTTCTTTCTGATCAGAATTCCTTTTGTTTGTATAGTATTAGATCTATCTATATTTAAATATTTAGTTTCTGGAAATCGTACAGTGTATGATGCCATACATACAGCACATTCTGAGTTACAAACCCACTGAATTAAATTACATTTCCCATTTAAAGGAGATCTGGATCCGCTCTCTCCCAGTTCAACCCTGACAAGGGCTGCCCCTGGAGTCACCCCTGGGCCTTGCCATGGGCTGGAAGGCACAGAGCTGGCAATGAGGCACTCCACGTGTGTGCTGCGCCATGGAGTTGGAGCAGATTGGCAAAGTTCTGCCATTTTTTCCTGTGGTGCATTTTAGTACGATTTGCAGGTGCCAGTCCCATAAGGAACACATTCGGGTTGTGAGCTCTTTGCTGAGGGGGTACTTCAGCAAAATGGAGTTTCTTGATGGTTCCCAAAAGCATCATGCATGGGTGCCTAGTGAATAGAAAGGCAGGGGAGGAAGGGAGGGGGGGAGGGAAGAGAAAAAAAGAAAAAAGAAAAAAGAAAAAAGAAAAAAAAAAGAGGGGGGAGAAGGAAAAAGGGGGAGAGGGGAAGAAAAGGGGGGAGGGAGGGAAAATTAAAAAGTAATTTTCTGTGGGGGGGGGGGAACAACCAAGGTTATTTCCCAGGAAGGAAAAAGCCCAGCGCCCGGCACGGTGATTTCCAGCGCCCCGCATGCCGCGCTGCTCGGGGCGGCCGCACCGCACCGCACCGCACAGCGCCGGGACCCCCCGGGGCGTTCGGGCCGCGCCGCGCCGCGCCGCTCGCCGCGACCCTTGCGGTATGCGGGCGGCTTGGCAGGGGCAGATGAAGGATTTCATTGAGTGTGAAGACAGAGAGCAGAGACAGAAAGCAGAAGGAGGCGGCTGCAGCCTTTGTAGTCGGGGAGGAATGCGGAAATGTTGAAGCACTATGTCAAACTTTTTTGAAACGGGGTCAAGTCACATTCAGCCAGCGTGGGAAAGCAAGGGGAAAAA